ACAAGGGGGAAGAATCAAGATCAACAGCCCAAGGCTGATTCCTATGAGGCAGAGGTCAGGCATACCTCCTCTCACCAGTCCTTTTTCCAATTTTGATACCATTTGTTCGTCCCACAGACACTCTACTTCTCTGCTGAGTTCAATAATTCGTTGCAATGGCCACACAGAACTCACAGACAATACTCATGATTAAGAGGTTTACTAGGGAAGTAACAGGTTACGATTTAGGTTAAGGAATGCTCAGGATACAGTTCTTCGATCAGGAAAGCCTCTTCTCAGCCATGCCTGCAGGCAGGTCTCTCCCTGGCCCTTAGTCCCTTGGCCTGGACTCTGCCCTGCTCAGGCAAGTGTTACAAGGCTCCTTTAGCTCTGTCGATAAACGTCCAGTAAGCCCGAAGACACTCAGCTCTAGCTCCGTGGGTCAGCAAACCTAAGTCCACCACGTGCCTGGAGGCACCTTACTCTGCCAGCAAGCCTCCTGGCCAAAGGTGCTCAACTTTCTCACTCTGTGGGCTGGGAAGCCCACCGCGCCATCTCCTGCTGGTCTCTTGTCAGTCTCCTGGTTCTGCTGCCACCGCTGCTTCTGGCCGCCTTCAGTGTTACAACTCTCCCTCTCTGTCTTCCACGTTACAACTCCTACTCTCTTTCTCTCTCAGTGTCTTCATGTAAGCCTAGCGGGATGGCAAAACTGATGAATCCCCTCCTTAGGTTTCCATACATCTCATTTGCATAGTCCTACCAGTCATTTGATGGGAGTTACAAAGACTGTGGCTAGAAAGCCCATATTAAATAATTCACTGCACTGCAACCAGTCATGAAGTGACTTCCCTCTTGCTACAAATTGTCAGGTAGAAGCATTCGATTACTTAAAAAATACTTTTTTACTCTGTGTTAAGTACTGTGTGAGGCTCTGGGTATCCAAAGGACAGATGTAGCTGCTGACCTCATGGGGGTTAACAGTCAGCTGCAAGATAGACACTGAACCACAATTATAAGTGTGATGAGAGTGGCACAGAGATGGTGGCTATGATGTCTATGACAGGGGCTCTCGCCTAAGGAAAGGTGTCAAAGAAGGCTTCCCTGGGGAAGAACATTTAAGCTGAGACTTGAAGAAGGAGCAGGAGTTAGCTAAGTGAGGAGTAGGAAGAACATTCCAGCTGAGAGGAAGCAGTTGGACAAGAAAGGCACTGACTGGACAGGAAAGAGGCTGGCATGTTAGGTAAACATAAAGTGTGGTGAGGGGACAGTGAAGTGAGAAGAAACTAGAGAAACTGAGCCTTTAGAACATAGTATTTTGTACTTCATCCTAAGAACCATGGGTAGTCATTGAAGGCCTAAACCAAAGCAGTGATATGTTGTGCTCATCACTTGGCTACTACGTGGAGAATGCACCAGCGGTGCATGAGTGGAGGCAGATGGCAGTTAGAGGCTGACACAATGGTCCAGGAAGAGGTGATGGTGGCTTGAACTAGGGTCACAGCAGTGGAAAAGGGCATGAGAGGTTCTTAGAAGAAAGAATGAGTAGAACTTGGTGATGGATTTGAGGGGGCAGGGGGGTTAGGGAGAAAAAGGGATCCAGATGCCTCCCAGGAGGACTGTGCTACCATTTACTGGGATAGGGAGGAGAGGCAGGGAGGGGGCAGGAAGAGGGCACAGGGAGATGCTGAGTTTAGGGTGGGGCATGTTGAATATGAATTATCTGGGAGACAACCGAGAAGAGATGTCAAGAAGGCAATGGACTTGAGACTCAGCAGAAGGGTCTAGGCTGAGGTATAATTTGGATTCGTCAGCAACAGAGGCTGACTGAAGCTATGGGGGGTGAGTGCAACTGCTAGGAAGAGAAATGGGCCTATGTCATTATTTTAACCCTGACTCCTAGTAGTCCAGCACAGTTGTTGTTGGCAATGAGATCTGAAAAGGAGTAGCCAAGGGGGTAAGAGGAAAAGCAGCCAAGAAAGGAATGTGTTTAAGACGGAGGTACTGGTCAACTGTGCTGAATGTCGCTAACAGTTATCTTTCTTAAAAAACTGATTGTCACTCTTTTTTATTACAAATCTTACCATTGCCTCCAAGAAAGTCTAAATTCCTTATCATGGAATAACAGTCTTCTCACAAACTACTTACAAAGTAATGCCAATATACCTCTCCAGACTTGTATCCCATAATTGCTTCCTTAACTGCATTCTTGCCACACTGATAGACTCTCTGCTGTCATGTGGTAGGTGCATGTGATTTGCAGTGCCAGAATCCATTCTCTCATAAATCAGTTTTTGTTTGCAGATCTACCCTACCCCCACCCTCTTCAGTCCATGTGGCTCTGAGGTCACCATCTACAGCCCTTGGAGCACCCCTCCCCTGACAGTGACCCACTGGGGTGGGGATAAGAAATATGATTAAGTTGGTCCAACAGAGAGAATCTCATGGGAGTCTTAAAAAACAGGACTGGATTAAAATTCCAAAGTGGACTGGAATCTGGAAGGACACAGCCCAGGGGTGCTGGCAGCCCTGTGATGACCATAGGAGAAAAGGTGATCTGAGAACAAGGCCAACACATGAAAGAGGGCAGAGCCGAGAGACAGAGAAGCTGGTTCTGGTGACATTGTTTGCATCCTTGCTTTAAGCCAGGATGGAAGCCAGAATAAATCTGAACCTTCTAGCTGTGGGAACCATGAATTTCCTTTCATTTTAATTTTTGGTTAGGGTTAGGTTTTTGTGACTTGCAACAGAATGAATCCTAACTCATGTATAAATACTGTTCCCGTTGCTTAAAATGTTTCCTGTTTCTCCATCTGGAACTTTTAACTATGACTTCTCAGTGAAACCTTCTCAGTCAGACTCCTCTGGGCAAGCATCCCCCGTCCTTCCTCAGAGCCCAGCATTATCATGTGACCATTATGGGCTGCACGTCTGCTTTCCCCATGTGGTCATTAAGGTTGTGTGTCAACTTGGCTGGGCCATGATTCTCAGTGACTTGGCAGTTATGATGTAGTTTGGCAGTCATATAATGATGTAATCACCTCCATGATGAGATCTGATATAACGTGATCACTTCCATGATGGGATCTCTTGTGAGCAGCCAATCAGTTGAAAGGGAGTTTCCTTGGGGATGTGGCCTGCATCGAATATAGGTGGACTTTCTGGCAAAGCTCATGGGCTTTTGCTCACTCTGGATCCTGCAGCTGGCTCCTATTATCTGACCTCCAGTTCTTGGGACTTGAGCTATCAGCTTACCTGCTGACCTTGGGATTCCTCAGCCTCCGCAGTCTGTGAGCCAGCAGCCTGCCAGCTTACCTGCCAATCTTGGGATTTGTCAGCCTCCGCAGCTATGTGAGTCAGGAGAAGCCTCCAGCCTGACCCATGGACTTGGGACTTACCAGCCTCTACAACTGTGAGAGCCATTTCCTTGATATAAATCTTTCTCTCTCTATATATATCTAGATACTTTACTGGTTTTGCTTCTCTAGAGAACCCAGCCTAAGACACCTCACTAGACTGATGCTCCTCAGGGCAGGGACCATGCCTTGTCATTCTTCTATCTCTGATGCCTCACATAGTATCTGGTGCATAAGAGTCACTTGTCAAATGTTTCCTGAATGACTCTCTGAATGAATGAATGAACAAATGAATTATAAGTAGAGGTAGTAATACTCTGCTTCTATATTTTGTGTAGAAACAACCCAAACATCAAAATATTCAATATTAAGAGACAGGAAGATACTGAAGAGATTGAAGAAAGGAAAAAAAAAAGAAGTTCCATAAATGCTTAAAACAATGAAAAATTAAGTATTGGCCAAATACATTTTCAAAATGTCATTATTTTAATTATAGAAATGGCATCTCAGAATAAAAATAAATAAATAAAGTATGTCCCTTGCTCCCAGATGGAATAAACTCATTTAGCTGTGCTACATCAGAATAACTTCACAAAATCTGGTATTCAAAGCTCATTAAGTCAGGTTGGCTGATTTTGCCATAATTATTTTAAATGTCCACCATCTACAGAATTTCATTCCAAACCCAAACAATCCATGGCACTTAATGAGCAGACTCCGATACTCAGGCCCCAGGACTGACTGGCAGCTTCAATGCTACGCTGGGTCATTATTAGCAGTCTACAGAAGACATTAAGAGCAAGCTGCCGTTACTGTGGTAACAAGCACAGGAAAGGAAAAGGTGGATGTCATATATAAAATGTGGACTACACACAGGAAGCACTAAGGAAAAACACCAGGCTTCTTCAGTTAAGAATGGGCATTCAACATTCGGGTACTGAAAACTGAGTTGCCAAAGGATTAAACAAGGAAATACACAGAGGCCCAATTGTCCTGGTCGCCAACAAGGCTCTTGAACCAGATGAAAATGTTACTCAGGTCTGAGTAAAATAGGCTGTTTATATTTTTTTAAAGGAGTGTTTTCCAAATTAAGTTGAGATTCATATTTAGCTTCTAATTGAACTTAAATCTAATTTAACAGAAGAGACTCCTCTAAATACAAATATTGTGAAGACAACTTTTCCCTTGCAGCACACACCACTTCCCACTATTTTATACGTATATTCATCAGAACAGAAACACTTGCTGAAATATGCAGAATAGACAATATGAAGTCCATGTGGTACATACTCAATGCTGCGTTCTATCAGTCTGTGTGTTGGGCTTGAAATGCTTATTAAGAAAACTCTACAAAGACCTGATTTTTTAGTGATAAATTTCTAATGATTCAACCACTAGATTCTAAATTAAAGCAGGCTTATTGAGATCCCTTTGTTAATTTGGTGGAAATTAGAGGCTTCCAAAGATGTTTTATCTGCTCTTCTTGTTTGAAAACCTTGGATGGACCAAGATTTTAAGCTCTTTGTTATTTTTATCAGTGTTTAGTTATCATAATGGAAAATATTCACGAAAGACTAATACAAATACAGGAAACCCAGTACAAAGCCTAAAAGAGAAAAATATGAACAGAGGAGAAAGAGTTCTGATGAATTTCTATGCTAATGGTACCTTATCTGATTTTCCTCATCATCCACCAGGAAGGACCAGCGGAACTTCACAACCAATGGGCTGCAGTTGGTGATTGTAATATAGCGAATCACCTCCGTGTCATTCAGGATACAGCCAAAATCCAGCTCCATGGTCTCAAAGCTTAGGTTGGGGTAATGCACTTCTCCACGCAGGTTCAGGCTGTCTACCTGAGGGTGCTCCACGTACTTAATTGCTAGAATTTCTTCTGCCACCCAGTTGTTGAAATCATTTCTACAGGAAGGGTCAAACTTGACCAGCAGGTTTTTTTCTCCACCAATCTCCAGTTTAATAGGCTACAAACAAGACAGTAGGGAATTACCAACCTCTGTATAATGCATTTGCAACCCGATACGTGAAACAGGACAACCAAAATTTTTCTGATACATACTTATTGATATATTGGACTCCTAAAGTTATTTCAGGGGTTTGATCTGGCACTTATTGTGAGATGCCAGCCTTCATTCTCCTTCCTCTCACATGGTAATATAGATACCAAACTCTCCTTGCATTTGCAGAGCCCTGGTGATGTAGTGGTTAAGCGCTTGGCTGCTAACAGAAAGGTCAGTGGCTTGAACCCACCAGCTGCTCCACAGGAGAAAGATGTGGCAGTCTGCTTCTGTAAAGATTACAGCCTTGGAAACCCTATGTGCAGTTCTACCCTGTCCTATAGGGTCGCTATGAGTCGAAATGGACTCGAGGGCAGTGGATTTTTTTTTTTTGCAGGTATACGCACAAACACATAAACGCACATACATACACACATATTAGTATGGAATGTATACATATATACATACATACATTTTACTAGTGTGAAAATGAAAGCAAGGAAAACCTTGAGAGAGAAATTATTGAAGGAAGAGATTTTAATAGCAGTTGTGGAGTTATGTGCACTGACGAGTTCTAAAAGGGAAAATCTACAATAAATGTAAAATATTCTTAACAAAAAGTAAATTAGATTGTGAAATGTTCTTTCTAGACAAGTGGGAAAAGTTTTTTGCTTAAGAAATTTTTAAAAAGATTTATAAGGCACTCTAGGGAGGGAAGGGATCTGTAGAGAGTGACCCAGAAAGGGACAGATTAGGTAGTTTAATTTCTTTTCCAACGTCTGCAATCCTAACTCTTAAGTACTGTGTTATCGACTTTCCGCTGTTTTCTATTCAACTCAAATGACACTCCAGAGCTGTACAGAGTTTGTTCAGTAGATTTCATTTGTTCTTTTCTCTCTTTGAGTCAAATCCCCATGTGTTCCTTGATGCTGGTGTCCCCAGTAACACCTTTCCATGGAAAGGCTGCTTATGAGTTGGCTTTTTTTAGACATTGCTCTAAACGGCATGAATCTCATGATTTTGTTCAAAGTGCCCTAAGGGAGTCCCAAGGAATGCACACAAAATGGGTCTGCTTTACAGGGCACGTCTACATTGGGTTTGAATGGTTCAGGTATTTAACCGTGTGCTTCAGTTACATGATTAGATGGCTTCGGCTGATAAAGCCAATCATCTGATTCAAGAATCACAGAGAGGGTAATGGCTCTTCAATTGGCCTAATCCCATATGAAAGCCAGGCCTGCCACCTGTTCTTTATCTTACTGCTGGCACGTGTGCTTGCAGGTTTGAGGATGGGGTTTTGCCTATTTCTTTGTTTCACTTTTGGTGAGATTTGAAGGAGGAGATTTAAAAGATCTTTACTATCTCTAGTAGGAAGCTACTGTTTTCTAAAGACTGGCTTCATCACAGTGGGTAGGAATGAAAGGATTATCACAATGAGCTGAGGTTCTTACACTGTCAATGATAGTTTTCCTACTGAGTACCATCGGAACTTATTTATGACTCATTTAAAAATTTCTATATTCTTTCCTGTTTGTGCCCTTGATTTTTTATATTTTTCCTGACTGAAACAAGGCAGTAGACTACTATTATTCTCTTCCTTTATCACTGCTAATCCCCCAAGGGGCTTGTTATGACAATCCCCTGTCAAGTTACCTCAGGAATTATGGGCAGTGGAGATTTATCAGTCTCACATATAAAGAAGGGTCCAGTTGTGGACAGTAACACATTTACGGGCAGGGTGGAAACATTCTTTATGGCCAAGGGCTGGTAATTAGGTTCCAGGATAGTGTCAGGTTTCTGTGAAAAAGGAAAAAGAGGAAACAAACCAAGGTACGGTAAACATAGTAAGCCTATAGCAACAAAAATCTCATATTCATTGTCAAAGCAGAATTAGCAATTTCATATACATACACACATATAATATATATATATTTATTTATATATTTTGGCAGAGGGTTAGATAAATCATTTGGAATGTATGGTGGGCTACTGAGAAGTGAACCTACACAGGCCAGAAAACACAGATTAGATCTTATTGCCTGGTTGAAAAAACCTACATAAGCCATGCCTCTACATAGAACTATTTCTCTAGAAGTTTCTATAATATCATAAAACAAAGTCTAATAAGTTAGTGATATGATCTTACAGAAGAATCCAGGTATCATTATAATGAATAAAACATTTTCCCCTTATACAGTATTTTATTTCCATGCTTAAAATACTCAAATTGTAAATATACTTATCTTTTTATGTTGACAAATGCTCACAACTATTTTCTGTAAAATTTTCCTGGTAACATTGGGGTAGGTGATTTAGAAGCATCTTTTCACCCTGTTAGTCTTATTAGATTTAATTTTTCAGCTGGAGAAAGCATTAGAAATGGATCTTGGGCCAGAAGTTTCTAGTTAACCAGGACTTTTCTCATTCTGATGTCGGGACTCACATTATTTCCTATCTGCCCTAGAAAGTGGGGACTTCAGTATCAGCAGGATATGACAAGAAGCCTCAATATCTGGCCTCCAAAGAGAATCTCCCTCCAGTCATTCCTAGTCTCAACGAGCTGGCGCTTCCAACAACTCTAGCCTGTTTTTCCTAGGCCTCTTGTTTTGGTTTGTTTTTTCTCTGTGTTCCTATTTCAGTCAGACCAACTTGACTCTATATTCTGATCTGACTCCGTCTTCAGGTTCTTGTCCAGCACAGTCTTCCTTCCACTGTGGTTCCTGGGTGCCCTGGCCTAGGTTGTCCTCCAATAGCCCCATCTGGACTCCCGAAGTTATTTCAGGGGTTTGATCTGGCACTTATTGTGAGATGCCAGGCTTCATTCCCCTTCCTCTCACATGGTAGTATAGATACCAGACTCTCCTTGCATTTGCAGATTGCATACCACAGTTTGAGGGATAAAGCAGCATTTTGTGCCTACAAAATAACAGACTGCATTGGGCTGGAGAAGTGTCACCTGTGACCTTCCCGAAGGCTGCTGTGAGACTGCAGGTAACTTTTGAAGTGAATGAGCCACGCTTGGTTGGTTTTGGCATGAGGCCATTCAGAGGTTAGTGATGAGAAGGTGTTGTTGCACAGAGAACCCGTTCTATTTTAAAATGACCCACCTCTCTCTGGGTTGTTTGTCTCCCCAAATATTGGCAGACAGATTTTTCTGCTGGAACTTTAAGAAGCAAACTGGCTGCTAGTTCCAACTGACCTTTTCAATTCCACAGAGATCTGGTTTCATCTCCATGGCTTATGAATGGCACAACAGTTATGAAGTAGATCAATCTGGGGAAAGTTAGAAAAAAATTCTTCCCATTGGCAGGGTTGGTATCATTACATTCTAATGTGCTAAAACTCAGATACATTACCTTGAGCTGCAAACAAGGAGACAGAATAGATAATCAGGGGTTACACAATTAAATCTGGATAGTGAGACTCAACAAGTCCTGTGCACACACTGAGAAATGAAGCTGCATTTCTTCAGTGTCCCTGATATGGATTCAATGTGAGCAGGAAATGAACAATGAAAAATACAGTGGTAGCGAACCTTATGGGGCAGTTCTACTCTGTCCTATAGGGTCACACTATGAGTTGGAATCAACTAGACAGCACACAACAACAACAACAAACAGGAGAGATTTCAAACTTCTGACATTTGGGAGGAAGGAGAGAAGGGTGAAAACAAGCAGGGAGTTGTGACTCAATTCATTTTTTAAAAGTCAACAAGAAGTGACTACCGTATTCAAAATATTTTCATATTTTAATCTAGTGATAAAAGTAAACAGTAGGCATTTAAACAAGAGTGTGATTTTCTTCAAGAACAAGGCATAAGTATTTAAAGAGAAAAAAAGGAGGATTACTCACACATTTTTATGAGCGTTTATGGGCTAAACAAAAAAAAAACTAATAAGAAACCAAGTGGCAAATTTAACATTTATTATAATTTCTTGCACATAATAGCTATTCAAAACATAGTCACTGAATTTTCTCTGAACAACCACATAGAGAAAAAACGACACCAACAAATTCAGAGAAGCTGTTGCCAATAAATACATTCCCGACTTTGTTAAAAAAAAAAAAAGAGAGAAAATTTAACAAAACAGAGAAATGAAAGGTTAATAACTGTAGCAGGAACTCTCGTAGTACTTTCTTTGTATATGTCTCATGGAGCTTGTCACAGTCAGTTTAGCATCCTGTAACTGAAACCCTCAATCTACCTCTTCCATGTCTACCTTCCCCACTAGGCTGTTAAGCATGCCACATGGTAGGTTTTAATAAATATTCCACCCAGTAGCCACTGTGACTCTTTCAATGAATAAATCTGACTGTGTCACATTTCCCTCCCTGAAGCCCTGCAAGAGCAACCCAGAATAAAACCCAAACTCCAGAACATGCCTCCCATGCATGCCACACACATCTGCCCCTGCCCACCTCTCCAGACTGACTTCATGTCATTCTTGGCCCTACTCAATGTTCTCCATCCAAGGTGGCTTTCCAGTTCTTTGTGCTTGCCAAACTGTTTCCTAACCCAGGCTCTTTCCTAACCCAGGCCTACAATTCTCTTCCCCTCTCTTGTCACCATACTAACTTCCATTTTTTTCAAGTTGAGACTTGAGGCACTTCCTCAACGAAGCTGTCTGAGACTATATGTACAAAGCCATGTCCCCCAATATATGGTCTCACAGCACCTTATACCTTTTTCACAGCATTGATATGACTGTAATTCAAATAATTAAAATTTAATAATTTCTTCACAATCTGTGACCTCGACTAGTCTCTTAGTTTTGATCATGTCTGTCTAGATCAATTTTCAGCACCAGCACAGTGCCTGACTCAGAACAGACTTTCCATACATGTCTGTTTTGGATGGTGAATAATTCTACGATGGAAGCCTGCCTAGGAATAGGTCAAGTCCTATCGTGATCTCTTCCCCATCTCTTCACTATCCCTGTTCCCTCTTCCCTGCCTTACCCATTTATTACTTGCCCTTAATGGACATATTAAGGGATGGACCAAGAAAAGAGAGTGAATCAAATAGTTTGAGTATTCTCAAGCCGTGTTAGGTTATCTACATAATAGCCTAACTTACATTTCAGTTTCCTCAAGTATATCATGGGAATGATAATAGAACCTACTGTATAGGTTGTTGCCAAGGACAACTGGGAAAATATATGTAATGAACTTGCACAATGCCTAACACACACTAAATGGTAGCTATTCTTACTGATTATTATAATTATTGGTAATTTTACTCCAACCCTTTCCATACTTTGATGCTTATTTTACCTAGTTAGAGTTGAATGGTTGACTAAAATGCATTTGCAGTGCACTGGAGAACATGCTTCACTTTGGTCTTTACATCAGGAATAATGGAAGTAGAATTTCCATAGAAATTTACATTTCAAAGGATTGTAGATTTAGGTTCAGAATTTTTAGTTTAATGTGTACTACCTCTGAAGCTTCAAAAACATTGGCTGGGTAATGGGTGTAATAGGCTTCCTGTTAATTTAGCTTACAAAATGAAACTGAACATTTTGACCCTCAGTCAGGAAACCCAGCCCTCCCCAGCACTGCCCCACTGACCTTCTCCAGTCGGTATATGAGCTGCTTGGTGGAGAGCTGGATAAGAGGTGCTATGAACTCACAGATGACATTCACAGTCATCACCAGACTCTTCCCCTTTTGTGCTCCAATGATGGCATGGCACACCAGCTTCTCTTTGACTATCTGCAGACAAAATATACCAGCATATTTGGAACAACCATAACTTAGAAAACTTAATGACCACCTACAGAGAGCAAATTGATTCACAACTACCTGCCTGAGTACTCCTGGGAAGAGTATGTTTTTCTGAATGGCACATTTCAGGGATCCTTCTCTGTTGGTGGTGCAGTGGTTAAGAGCCTGGAGGCTAACCAAAAGGTCGGTAATTCGAATCCATCAGCCACTCCTTGGAAACTCTATGGGGCAGTTCTACTCTGCCCTATAGGGTCGCTATGAGTTGGAATCGACTTGACAGCAGAGGGTTTGGCTTTTTTTCTTTTGGTCTGTGTCACACAAGTAAAATCTGATTGGTTAAATATGTCCTTGGTGGATCCTGTGTTTATTTCTTACTGCCTCTGAGGACATAGTCAATCTACATTCAGTTCGTCCAATATCTATGGAACATTTATTATGCATCAGGAGCTGTGTTAGGGGCAGTGAATAAATATCAGTGATGAGCAAGATGGATGAAGTCCTTCAAAGGACTTACAGTTCAATGGTAGTTACATGATTTCGCGACCCTATAGGGCAGAGTAGAACTGCCCCACAGGGCTTACCAAACTAGATGAAAATTTTGACTTCATACTTGTACATCTAAAAACTGTGCTATAGAAACCATTTCCTTTGGACCCAACAGGCCCAGATTTTTATAAAGTAGAAGGAACCAAAAGGAAACATATCATCAATAGCTTAGCTTGTGCTGAAGAGACTGCTCCAGTTTCTGATGTTAATGAATTCAAGTCTCTTCTCAATTATGTAGAATAATTTGGAAGAACATTTAGGGAAGCTTTTAGTAAAGCTTAAACTAAATTTATTCTCCCAGAAGCTCAGATTTAATGTTTTTAAAAATTTGGTTTACTTTTGGTAACCATGTCGTAATTGCATTCTTCCAACAGGCTGTAAGTGTCTTGAGAACAGGGGCTCCATTTTACTCTTCTTTACATCCTTGGTGCCGAGCATAGTGTTTGTCACATGGCACATACTCAACAGATGTTGTCTGAACAGATACAAAGAGCATATTATATACTCCATAGTGGGAGATAGCCTCTTTTTTTGCATAGAGAATGTGTTTTACCTGAAAATGCTCCGTAAAGAAAAAATGTAAGTGAAATAAAGTGCAATTTGTAAGCCTAGAGAAGCTAAGCAATAGACCAGATTTTCCATCTTGTCTTCTGGGAGACACATCTCTTATTCTTCCCTATTTCATGCAGAGAAAATTCAGTATCACCTCCTAATTAGGCGGCACAAGCAGGAGCATAATGAGCATTATTAGCTTTGGCTGAAAACTGGATGTTTCTCTACCAGAGACTTGCTAGCTGGTCACTGCTGACCCTGGGGATGAGAACCTGCTCTAATTGGTACTTTCAGGGTGGGTTCCTGGTAGCTATGGAAACAAACAGTAAACTGAGCTGAGCTGAACCCTGAAAGCAGTAAGTGCTGCCATGGTAACTTAGTGCTGTATGCAATCCTTGAGATACCATATCCTTTCCACAGATAAATGTCAAAGGACTCTCCTAAGAAATATTTACAGCAAAGATTAATTTAGGAGAAAAATAGCTTTCTAAAATTGCTGTTCCCTTACCCTTGGAGTAGCAGAGTAGCTTTCGAGTATCACATCGATTGTCTGGCCCGGGTACAGCTCCATCCTGATGGGGTGGAGCTGAAACACAGGGCTCTGTGGATCCCTGAGCATCTGGGAGCCCTTGGAGCCTTGGCTATCACCACAGCCCTTCCTAGCCAGGCCTTTCTTGCTCAGCTTGTCCTGGGGGCGAAAACTGTCGTTCATCCAGAATAGCTGTTGGACACGACGTCCCTTGTTGGTCAGCTTGAAGCGGTAATAATAGGTATCAAGGCTGGAAAGGGGGAGGCAGGTGTTTAGAGGACTCGATTTGGCAATGTTCTATTCTGCTATACACCCTTGGGAATAATTCATTTGAAAGTATTTTAAAAGTAGGCAATGAAATAAAACATTAATTTTTTAAAAATGTAGGAAGACTAAATCATGACACTACTGCGAATTACCGCAGTGATGAGACAAGGTAGCATCTACTCATGGAGTCAACAGACTCAGAGTCAGAGACCTAGGTTTGGTCCCAGAGTTGCCATCACCAGCTAAGGGCTGTGGGAAAGTTGCCTCATCCATTCTTGGTCTTTCCCAGCAGGTGAAGCAAATTACAGCACACACAGACACAGTTCCTGTGAAAACCACTCTACTTTTTGAAGAATGGTTCTGAAGAGTCAAAGGGAAGCAAAATACTTACCGGAGAAGCAAATTTCAAGTTGTGTTGACTAAATCTCTACTGACTGAGTATAATGTCTTATGTTGGGCTCAATCTAAGGGAACTTCAAGAGTAACAGTGCATATCCTCTAAGGAGGCTGTAAAGGGCTGGGATGCCATCTGGATTGGCCACTTTTCTCAGACTAATGTGCTTTAAAGTTGCTACTATTTCATTCGTTTGTTCATTCATTCATCTATGCCACAAATATTTATTAAGGACCTCCCACTGACTAGCCCTTTAGACACGGAACTAGACAGACTCAGTCCCTGTTTGCCCACAGCTTAGCTCTATCAGATATTTTTAAAATCTTCAAGGAGATTCAAACATGTTTTCATTTGTTTTGCATATATATATATATATATACACACACACACACACTAAAGAAGAAAAAAAAAAAAACCACCATTGTCATTGAGTCAATTCTGACTCATAGCAGCCCTACAGGACAGAGTAGAACTGCCCCAAAGGGTTTTCAAGGAGGAGCTGGTGGATTCAAACTGCTGACCTTTTAGTTAGCAGCCAAACTCATATATGTATGTATATATATCCAAAACCCCACTGTCGTCCAGTTGATTTTGACTCAGAGCAACCCTATAGGACGGAGCAGAACTGCCCCATAGGGCTTCCAAGGAGCAGCTGGTGGATTTGAACTGTCGATGTTTTGGTTAGCAGCTGAATGCTTAACCACTGTGCCACAAGGGCTCCCGTATATATGTATGTATATATATATATATGTATATCTATGTGTATACACGTATGTATATATCTGTGTGTATATATATGATTTTTTTCAAACTGACATAGGCTTCTTTTTTGAGGGAAAAAACTTATCTCAGGACTGTTTTTTGCCTTTCAATTTTATTAGGCTTTAGTATTTCCATTCTATCTGTTCCTCTTTAGGAAATGACATCATATCAAATAAGTAAGCTGAACATCAACTAAATAATCAGAAGGTGTATTTTGCCAGTTGTCAGGTGTAATCATTTCTATCTAAATCTGTGTCTACATGTCATGCTCACTGGAGTGTCTTTACTCAGCAGTTTGACTTCACGACTAAGAGCAGGTTTACAGGATGATAATAAATAATATCTACTGTTTATAAACTAGGCAGTTACTCTGTCATATATTCATATTACATCTTTCAATTGTCATAACAACCAGTAATAACAAGTATATTTCTTTTCATTTTATAAATGAAGAAATTGAACTTCTGAAAAACCTAAGAGAGCTGCCCTAAAACATGCCATCAGAAGGGGTGGTATATGGGTATTTCTTTAGACTAGGAGTTGGCAAACTTTTTCTAAAAAGTCCCAAGTAATAAATATTTTAGACTTTGTGGGACACATGGTCTCTGTTACAACTACTCAACTCTATTATAGTGTGAAAGCAGCCACAGAAATATGTAAATGAATGGGCATGGCTGTGTTCTAATAAAACTTTATTTATAGAAACAGGCAGTGGCCTGTAGTTTGCCAGCCCCTGCTTGTGACGATTCTTCTGGAGATTCCTGGCATCATAATTTTATGTCAAACAAGAATAATGATAGGGTTTAGGTAGAGGGAAACAGGCAGCTAAAAGCTACAGTTTGCTTCAATATTCCTAGAAAACTGTTAGCTAACTCTTCAACTCCAGGCAAGTGTCAGAATATTCTCTGGGGCTATTTGACACTATTTGTAGATTAAGGAGAACAGTAATTAAGTCTGGTTTGCAGTATATTATTTCATATATTTATATTTAAGTGCACTTAATAAAGAAATTTGAAAGTAGAAGCACCAGAATGATAAAATGCCCTAACTTGTGGCCAACAGATAGGGAGAGAGGCGGATTTTTAATCTAGTTGACATAAACACTGCAAATACTTCCCTGAAAACATACGCAATTTGACTATCTGATTTGCCCATTACTTAATTATCCATTGGTTTATGGTTTTTAAAATCAAGTTCTATGTTTTATATATGGTACAGAGGAAAGGAAACGTGGGTGGGATTTGTGGAGGATTCTTAACTGATCATTATCAGTCACATCCTTCCAAGCACAGCGCATCCAACTTAGTTTTAGGGTCTGTTAGACCAGAAGGCAGGAGCACCCTTTTTGGGATCTGTTTACAGTCTTGCATCGGATAGATACAATTCACCTGGCCCCTGTGTGTCAATGCTTACACTCTCCTGAAGAACCATGAGTCCCCACACATCTCCTCCACCCTGAGCATTCAAACCTGATATATTTTTAGATCGGCATTTAGATTGTTCTGCTTAGAGGTGTCTATACTGTACTACCTTTTATTTAAATATTTAGACTTTCTAGCTTTTCCTGGGTGATCAGTTGAAGCCAATTGCAATAATCTCATTTTTGTGGTGCTGTGGTGGGGAGGCAAGCAGAGGGCTTAATACCAAAAAAGCTACTGGCTTTGCAATACCTGATAAGATACATTCGCAATAAATTTTTGCCTTCCGAGGTATACTTTAAGGAGCCTTGGTGGCGCAGTGGTTAAGCACTTGGCTGCTAACCAAAAGGTCAGTGGCTTGAACCCATCAACCACTCCACAGGAGAAAGAGGTGGCAGTCTGCTTCTGAAAAGATTTATAGCCTTGTAAACTCTATGGGGCAGTTCTATTCTGTGCTATAGGGTTGCTACGAGTTAAAACTGACTCAATGGCAACAGGTTCAGGTGTATTTTACTTAGGTTACCACTAAGATATATTTGTATTTTCTATGTTCATGGAGAGGGGATTCCAGTGTATTGGAATCAAAGAGGATAAATTATGGTTGAGATTCTAAATTTGTCACAGAGAAGCACTATAAGTTTGAGAGAAGAATACATGTCCTTCGAACCATCTCTTTCTCTAGTGAAGAGGGACACAGCTTGGAGAATATAACCAAGCTACGCCTACGAAATGTCTTTTTGTGGCTGATGGGCAAAGGAGGGGGAAAAGTGAGAATGGGAAACGGGAGGGACTGTGGTGGCAGTCCTATTTCCTTAAAAACAGTTTTCTAAAGTGGAGGTGAGGCTCACTTATGCAAAGTACGTGATATCTGTAAAAATTGGCCCATGACATTTCCCTACCTAAAATATGCTCCCAAATTGAGTTCTGGAGCAAAGGGCTTATCTGAAACAATGGTGGAACCAATTCCTGAAGCCTGGACAGGAATCTGATAGGTGTTGCTATTTTTAATGTCCAAAATGATCATGTCTTTGAATGTCACTATGTCATTCAGGTTGGCGGTCACTGCCAGTTGAATATCAGCTTCCGGGGGGATCATGCCTTCATTGGGTTCCACTGTCCAAAGGGACTTTTTGTGTGCCTGCAACAGAAGACTACAAGTTAACAGTGAAGATATTCTTGGCTTTTCATTCCGCACATGTCAAAGCCCTCTATACTTCAAATGGCTGGCAAGGAAGAATTCAACATCAGAGACAAACATTATTTTTTTCACATCAAAGCAGCTGTGTGTTTGCTGGCTTTTCTGTTTTTCAAAAAGCAATCTGATTCTGAACAGCAAACCTATGATTCTACTTTTGAATGCTCTGTGAAGATTCTTTAAATCTCTTTCCCAAGATGACAGCCCAGTTATATAACAAGCTTACACTAATTATTTGCTGTAGTCTCCAAATTCTGAGATACCAATAGAAGGTACAATATTCTTTCTGTAATTAGGAACTTTTAAAGTAAACATTTTGCAAACTCAAAGTTTCTATGATGTTACAGTAATTACAAGCAGCATTCATTAATAAACACAATGTAAGAAGTCACCCTGGTTTCTATCATTTCATAATAATCAATAGAATTTTATTATTCAGCAATAAAAATAAATGAAATATACGTATATATTACAATATGGATGAACCTTGAAAACATTATGCTAAGTGAAAGAAGGCAGCCACAAAAAGCCACATATTGTAGGATTCCTTTTACATAAAATTTCCAGAATAGACAAATGCATAGAGACAAAAGTAGATCAGAGGTTGCCAGGAGATGGGGATGGGGGAATTAGGACTGACTGCCAACAGATATAGGGCTCCTTCCTAGGATGATGGAAAATGTTCTAGAATTCAATAGTGGTGATGGTTGTACAACTGTGTGAATATACTAAAAACCATTCACTGAATTGTACACTTTAAAGGGGTGACTTTTATGGTATACGAATTATAGCTCAATAAAGCTGTGAAAAAGAGTAACTCTTAAATGTGAGCTCCCTGCCCAGTCAACTTAATCTGTCTATTTGTTCATCACCTCATATTGTCTGTAGAATCCTTAAATGTATTTTGGTATAACTGGCTTAGTAAATTATATGTTTACTCTTCCATAATAAATCGATTTGTAAATGAAAACATTTCGAGATTATTTTGGAATATATGATAGGACTGAATTATACAGTTGGAAGTGACTCCCACTAATCTGTTACCTTTAGCTACTTAGATCCTCACAGCTCACACCCTTTCCTCCTTCAGGAAGAGATGTGGAAATTAATTAGAAACTTCTAGGAGAAAAACTGGAAGAAAAAGCCAAACTCTCCAGTTCATTGGAGAAGAGTTTGATTATTCCCTTGGGAATCTTCCTTGGTTCCTCATGCTCATCTGAGTATGGACACCCTCCAAAGTAATGCACAGAGAAAAACTAGTGTAAACTATTCTGTTTGGGATGGTACTTAGAGGACATTCCAGTCCAAAATTATCCTTCTTCCATTTAATTTCTATGATGTAGTTCTTCCAGCAAAAGGAAAAAGGGAGAAATATAAAAACACCTATAGCTCTATGGAGGCTGAGGTATAAGGTAAGGCTACGAATCAGAAACTTTCTTATGTCTAGTTTGGAAATGAGTTGCACTGATGATATTTGTAAATGAAATGTAACATTGTAGTTTGCAGGCATGAGTTAGAGCTTTCGGCCAGGCAGAATCTCACATGGTGGCAGTGCCATGGAGTGTCCCCCAAATCCAGGTCTGGCTCCACTACAAGTCCAGAAATTAGATTTGGTCAGTGGGTCCTGATGGTCACTCTCTTAGGAACGGGCTCACAGGTATTTAAATAAGGAAAATCTAAGATTTTCCTAATATACAACTGAGGACAAATTCTGTTAGACAAGAGTGTTAGCTTCCCATGTTGAAAGTCTACATGGAAAATAATAAATAAATTACATTTTTAAATTTAACTAAATAAATGAAGCAAAGAAGAACAATTCTCAAGATTATAAATTGTAATGATGAGGATGTAGATGAATATTGATGAGGAAATTTTAATTTTGGCACTAACGGAAATTATAGCTTTAACTTTAAGTCAGAAGTCCTATTATTACTCATGATATTTTAATATGAGACATTTCTAGAGACACAGAAATAGAAGAAGGCCATTAAACATTAAATACCACACTAGATAAACCAGGGCCCGGATGTGGACATATATAATAATAATTGTCTTTATTCGAACGACACTTGTGGGAAAAAATGCTGAATCTTGTTCTACTTGATGTTTTTTTCTAAACTTTCTCTATAATTATTCTATTCATAGTAACCTGGCCCTATCAGAGTACTAAAATATTAAGAAAACAGTAAGCAAAGTCTCTGTCTTTTCAGAACATTAACCTGCATTTATTTATAATTTTATATTAAAATATTAATGAGAAAGAGATAATAACAATCTTCATAAATTTAATTTTCAGAATTATAGATCTATTATTACTGGCAGGACAAACTACCAGGATAGAATATCACTATATCCTGTTCGTTATTTAGGTTCAAAGAAATAATTTTTAGTGCATCTTCATAATTTATCCAAAAATTTTTTTACAATCCCAAAGTGAAAAACACTAAAATCCTCTTACACATTAATCATAGACAATGATACAAAATAAGTTCTAGAAGAGGTATAAATGCACTTTCAATATTCCATCTATATTTTGAAATGAATCAACATAGCTTCATTTTTTTATTGTGCTTTAAGTGAAAGTTTACAGCTCAAGTTAGTTTCTCATACAAAAATTTATACACACATTGTTATGTGACCCTAGTTGCTCTCCCTATAATTTTACAGCACACTCCTTTTCACCCCAGATTTCCCATGTCCATTCAACCAGGTCCTGTTCCTTTCTACCTTCTCATCTCACCTCCCGACAGGAGCTGCCCATTTAGTCTCATGTATCTACTTGAGCTAAGAAGCACTCTCTTCACGAGTATCATTTTATGTCTTATAGACCAGTCTAATCTTTGTCTGAAGAGTTGGCTTCGGGAATGGTTTCAGTTCTGGGCTAAGAGAGTCTGGGGGCCATGTCTTCCAGGGTCCCTCTAGTCTCAGTCAGATCATTAAGTCTGGTCTTTTTACTAGAATTTGAGTTCTGCACCCCACTTTTCTCCTGCTCCTCTCTGTTGTATTCCCCGTCAGGGTGGTCATTGGTATCAATGTAGCTTCATTTTATCTACAGTTTTTATTACAATAGACAGTAGTCTTTGGCTTATATAACTTTCAGTCTGACCTAATTAAAGCAATATGTACAATAACTTAGAACTACTTATCTTTCTTACTTTTAGTTTTTAGATTCTAGGCTATTACTTTAGGTAAGGTAATGCTAGCTGCTGTAACAGAAAAGACCTCTGAAGCTCAGTGGCTTAATCCAATAAAAGCTTATTTCTTGCTCACATGAATTCTAATTGGTTGCAGGGTTTAGGATGGGCTTCTGTTCCATTTAGTCAGTCAGAGACCTTGGCTAAACAGATGATGCCATATTTAACCTGTGGCTTTTAGGTTTTTCTGGATATTGACACCCAGATGTCCAAGAAGTGAATAAGGACAATGGAGGGTCATATGGGAGGATTTTATGCACTGTCTTAGGCTGGGTTCTCTAGAAAAACAAAACCAGTGCAGTGTATAAATATAATATAGAGAGATTTATACGAAGGAAATGGTTCATGTGGTTGTGGAGGTTGAAAAGTCTCAAGTCTGTGGGTCAGGCTGGAGGCTTGTCCTGATTCACATAGCTGCAGGGGATGGTGAACCCAAGATCAGAAGGTCAGACAGCAGGCCTCTGGCTCACAGTCTGCAGAGGCTGACAAATCCCAAGATCAGCAGGTAAGACAGCAGGTAAGCTGCTAGCTCAAGACCCAAGAACCAGAGGTCAGATTAACAGGAGCCAGCTGCATGATCCAGAGTGAGCAAAAGACAGCGAGACCCACCAGAAAGTCCACCTATATTGGATTCAGGCCACACACCCAGGGAAACTCCCTCTTAACTGATTGGCTGCTCACAACAGATCTCATCATGGAGGTGATCACACTATATTAGATCTCATCATGGAGGCGATCACATCACTACATAGCTGCCCAACTACATAACTGACAAACCACTGAGAATCATGGCCCAGCCAAGCTGACACACAACCTTAATAATTACATGCACCAAGCCTGGAAGTATCACTTCTGTCCACTTCCACTGGCCAGAACTCAGTCATGTGGCCAACTTGAGAGAAGGCTGTGATATGGAGTCTAGCTCTGTGTCCAAAAGCAAAGGGAGATGGATTTGGTGAACTGCTAGCCATTCTCTGCTACAGTTCCTTTGTTGGCTGAGTCTACTGCCACATCCTCAGGCTTTTCCCCAACCTCCCAGATGTCCTATTTGGAGAGGTGAAGAGTCCACTCCATCAGAACACAGACATGGGAAGGTATCTCAGAATTTTAAATCCTATGAGTTGCGGGGCCAGAGTTCATTTCTATTCGCTGTTAGGACAAAAGGAGAGGCAGCCAGGAGAGAAAATTAGAATGTTCTAGGCAAGAAGAAATCATGGTTGGCCCTCCTTCCCAAAATTGTGGCCTTAGAGCACTCTACATAGTTTTTACTCATTTATGAAACTAGACTTGCAATTAAAACAAATCAATGCCATTTTCACCCTTCTTTAATCAAAAGGCAAATGCCTTCCGGAAGAGGGTACTGTCAATGCCATCTTTCCTAGTGTAACCATTTATTTTCCTCTAGTCAGTAGCACAGGTCAATCCTCTGTTCCACAATGAAGAATGGGTGCTACCAGAGGTGCTACTTCTTGTCAGGGAACATTAGTTCTCCATGGATGTGTACAATTTATTTTCTAATTTCTGCTGACACAGATTGGCTACTCTGGAAAGAAGACCTGAGAGTTGCTCTCCGGAGTTGAATTGGTGAGGTTTTTTTTTTTTTCTTTTTTGACAAAGCTTATTAAACAATGCTTGCCATAAAACCAGGCAGCAAATTTATCATAGAATCTAACAACATGGCACATTAAGATGCCAGATGCTAAGGAGGTGGGTTATCCTTACTAAAAGCCAGGTTCTAAACCTCATTGA